GGCCGTTATCGTGTCTTCTTTGCTTTTCCGTGTAGACGTTCTGATATTCCCCTTAGACAACTTTCACATACATTTCTGCAATAGGTCATCTCATTTCACATATTGCTCTATAACGATTCGATGAGTTTGACAGATATATTACTTGTTAAGGGGAACTTCAGATACACTTCCTGTCATATTAGATATTCCTTAACTATGTGACACCAATTCGCAGAACTAAGAATCTTTATAATGGAATAAATACTGGGGACCTATCGAGATCGATTGCAACTGGTAGAGAATGACGGTTGTTCTAATGCGTTTGTAAAAAGTAATATTCCGCATTACGAATATGACGTATTTTCACACCCTATAAAATGCGAACAAATGCATAAGCCTGTCTTACATGGAGTCACCTTCACTGAAATGATATGACATTGACGTGACCAGACTCATCTTGAGTGCACTAATTGACTTGTTTTATTATTTGCCTTCAAGCTATTTAAACCTATGTAGATTTATTTCGGCTATTTATTTATTCTCTGCGGAATCGATCCACATAATGCTATGAAATGTCTGAAACCCAATTTTTTACTGATTGGGATTTTATTAGTATATCTCTATGTTACGTTGTCAGTTTACGTGCTTGGTATTGTATGAGAAACAATAATTACTTCAATCTTACAAAATAAGTAATAGAACTGTTTCAACAACGTCCTATTCTCTGTGTGCGTGTGTTTATATGTCTACGAATAAATGCATTGATCGTGTTCTTTATTTGTGTGTTAGGCAAAATTGCAGAAAAGTTGAACAACAAATGAATTCCCTTCGCGATCTAGTGGTTAAGTGCTCGCGCGTGAAGCCATTAGGTTCTGGGTTCGAATCCCACTGGGTGCGGGATCGTGGATGCGCACCGCTGAGGAGTCCCGTACTAGGACGAAACGGCCGTCCAGTGCTTCCAGGTTTTCCACGGTAGTCTAGCTTCAATTAACTCAAGATTTCAACCTGTGAAATATTAATATTTCTTTATCTTGAATACACCAAATCGATATGAAACTATTTGATGAAAACCACTCAGAAGTATTGAACCGGTCAAATATACCAAACTATACCAAACGAAATAACTATGGACTGATGTTTCAGTAAAATTACCAAACTTTACTAGACATTTATAGACAAACTACTACATCACGAATAATAAAACTACATTGAATGCCTGCAGACAACCGAGAAGAAAACAAAAGAAACTTTGTTAGTTCTGGGTCCTAAAAATATCAACTCGGATTTATTAGCTGATCTTTTTTGTATACTAATTTTCCACAACATTTCTCCACTAATCAAGGGGTCGTTCGCATATCTTTAACTTAAAAGTATTCATTTAAAGAATCTTCAGCTCATTACGAGGTGTCTATCTCAAAGAGAACGATCCTGAAATGCTTTATTTTGTTCGAAAGTCAGTCATTATTCTGTGCTCACTACTGACTAGCTATGAGACTGATGTCCTAAAGTTCTGGTTGCAAGAACTGATCGACATAAATAAGACTGTCGAGAGTGACGGAGGGTAATTGGTGATATTCGACTGAGATGTTTCTCAATTACTGATTGGTTGAGGTCACAGTATGGACTATTGGATTCTAACTCAGTAACTTCAATGTAAAAGGGCTTGAGGAGATTGTTTCTTCGATTTCATATGAGATTGTTGGTGCTTATTAATGCAAAATCTTAAACTACGATAAAATTTATGTCAATCAATTGCAATACATCATCGTTTTTCTGAACTAACAAATCATTTCTTACTGATTTTTAAATATACTATAAGATTAATACAAAACGCGTACTTATTTCTTAATAATGTGAACATTTATTACTCTTTTTCGAATTTAATCACTTCGTAATACCGTTAGCACTAATACTGGCACTAAATGAATTATAATGATTGTCGTATCTAAATGAGTATAATACAATGTGTCCAATATGTATTAATGTTTTAATCATTCTGGAGTTCATGACAGCTAACATACCTACTAAAAAATTTGAACGATATTACGGACTAAATATTGAATGAGGTTAGTATTTTGTATTTTATTGTCCTCGATGATAGGCCATCGTTTCTACGCTGTGACAAACAGAATATATATATCATCGAATAAAAATGAATGGAGGTCTTTCAGTGTCGTGGGTCGACGGAAGTTAAAATTTTATAACCTGAAAAACCAGAACTCAGCTGTTGGTTGATCCAGAGGAAGGCATTGTACTTGGACGAAACAGTTATCTATTGTTTACCGTCTCAATGGTCGTCCCACTAAAGTCACTCTATGATGTGATTTCACAAGCCTAAACAATATTTGACCAATGACAGTTCGGACTCATTTGCAGCAACATCAAAAACTAAGTGTATAAGCGATTCGGCACGTTACGACACTTCATTTTCCCGAAAATAAAAGTGAATAACATCAATTCTCATAATTCGGATCGTATTATTTGCGAAATATCGACAAATGGAACAGTAATAGAATTTTCAAATAGACAATTTCTGTAAAATGTGGTCATTGAAACACAACAGTCTGCAGTAAAATTTCACGTTGAATCTTGCATCTAATTCGCCTATCAAACGTTCTTATCTCATTTTCTTCAAAATTCAGTATTCCAAATTCATGAAATCTGCGATTGAATTTGTTTACGGAGAATCCAGGTCGTTGTGTATAAGTGTGCAAATGTTGTATATCGAAAATAAATATTTCGCGAATAATACGTCTTGATGCACAATAAGATGGTATTTTATATCGTGCAACAAATAGTGCATGGAGGTCTGGTTCTGTGCTATTGCGGCATGTGAGACATACTACTCGAGTTCGAATTGTGGATTGTATGCCAGTGTACTGAAAAGTAGTTCATCTGGAGCTTCCAGTAGATATCGTTTCACTTTAGAAAGTTATCATATCTCTAAAACTTATCATGCAGAATGTAACTAACAAACAATGATTGCAGCACGTGCATTTCAAATACTGGATGTCGCTGCACTGAAGCGATTTTATGGAGACGTTGATTTGTATCAATTTGAGTGGAGAGAGATTCGAAATGAAGCTAGAGATAAATATTTGTGTTACTTTTTCTTCTTCTGACACCTTTACATCTAGTGTTATTTTAAGGTGAAAGTCATCTTCAATGAATACAAACCTCAATGAGTCTATTATTTTATTCACTTATTTATTCGACAAAATACCATATCATTCAAGCGACAAGTCATCTCCAAAGAATATGACTAAAATATTCATGAGGCAAACAAATTTTGATACAAAATTGTACATTCAGTAAAAAGAGGGTATACTTTAAGGTATACATTGCACACTTTCACTTGTTAGTGAGATTATCACAAGTCTAATACTATCAGTACTGATGGAACCATCAAACCGTACTGAATGCTAAGCAGATTTCAAATCTAATGCAGTCGTACCTAACAACATGAATCTAGCATAAATTTCTTTACCATTCGGCTGAGTTTAAATCGTGGAAAAGAGGGACATGTAGTTAGACTACAGTTCATTTTAGTGAAAACAATTGTAATTGATGGAATTTATTTAACAGCTAACAATCAATAGACATATTCAAACATGGCTACGTATGATATGACTGTCATCAAATTCACGATGCCCTGAAGTTATAACTGGCCACTGGAAGAAAAGACTTATCGGTTTTTCAAACAGAAAATGAAACTTCATTCAGTTTATTCATCCTACATTTTGATAAGAATTCTAAGGGAATAGTCACATGCAAAAGTGAATCAAGAAAAAAAACTGTCTCGTATTTGCAACGACAGTGTGCTACTGTCAAATAATAAATTCATTATTTTGTTTAGAATACCATTTTCCATCCAAATCAAGTGAAGAAAAATTGATTCTTTTAAGCAATATATGAGTCATTTCATAATAAATCCGGTTCGATACAACATATCATTGAACTATGATCGGTTTATAAGTAATTGATGAAAACTGTCTCGTCAATCTTTATGCTGAACTCATTAGAATGAAATTCTACAATTAGTTAAATGCTATTTAGATTAAAGACATATTTTTACGTTTATTTATTGGATGCATTGTGTTCCGTGAACTGGAGGGTTCGTTTGTGAAGCTTTCACGGTACATCAAAGAGAAACATCTTTGAATTAAGTGTTAAAGACTCTACCCAGGATATTAATGAAAGTTTCACAACTAGACCATCCAGCTCATAGAAAATAATACCCCGGCACACTCATTCTGAACTACAACCAAATATACTCCATCATGCATTATTCTTCTTATTAGGAGCAGAATACTGATGCATTTGCGGAAGATGGATTTAATGACAATTTTATAACTCACATATAAATTTTACTTACTTATGGTCGTTTACAAAGCACCAAGTTTGATCACTTGTGCTACCTGACATAGGCTTTTTATGTCTAGTGTTTAGAAAGCACAGAGTATGAATTTATGCCAGGACATTCTCTGTATATCGCTAACAGATTAATGTAACAAATTTGCTAATTCCACCACATCCAACTACTTTATTGTAATCACATTCTCAGAATACTAAATTCTGTATTCTCATTTCTGTTAGACCTTCGTTACCCGAAACTAAAGCAAGCTTTATTCTAGGGACTAATTTTTTGAAGTGTGAAATATTTACCTAACCTCACTTTAAAAATATTAGATGTAAATTTACACAAATTGTAATTGATCAGTAGAACTCTAAGGTTTCAAGAATACTCCCTTTCGTTCATGGTTGATTGACTGTATGTTTACTTCCATTCTATCGCTCACATTGCTTCAAATATTCTGTAAACGTGGTTTTACTATAGTTGTTGTGAAACGGATAAGAAATTAACGAACATAAATGGGTGCAAAAGTTGAGTTTCTCTATATACAAACCTGTCTAATTTCTTAGTGAATGGTTTATTTTTATTTCCCATGTCTAACAGAGAACGCTAGGGAAATACCCGAAATTATTTAACATACTGAAAAACTAGTCTTCTTTAAAAGAATTCATCTTTGAAATGCATTTCTTTTATTATAATCAGTAATATTGGACATATTCAACGCTTTCAGTGCAACTACTAATTCCCAATTCGTTCGTAATGGTAATTCTTTCCCGTTGATGTTCATCAAATATTGCCATTTTACAGTTGGATTGTTGAATAACAACTCAGAACAAGCAAGAAAACCGTCCACTACTGAATAGTGCCCCCAAACTACACGGATGCTCTCAGATCGATTCACTACCAGAACATTAGCACCGAAACATCTAGACAGATTAACAATTTCCTCATAAAACCATTCAGGTGATTTCCTGTCCACATGAATACAATAAAGATTGTTCGGACGATAAATTAAACGCAGTAGTCGAGCTGTCCATTCAACATCATCATAAATTAGTAGGGAATATGCAATCGGATATGATTTCTCTTCCTCACTCAACCAGACAGGTTGTTCAATTAGTTGTTTGAAGTTATCACAAGACTTCGAACCATCCCATAGATGATAACGGTCGTTGCGTGTTGAATATGATTCGAAGTGTTTGGTAGTTAACGGACTTTTCACTGTGTCTTTTAAAAATGCTTCACACGTTTCTATGGATTCACTTATCATATTTTGATATAGATTAGTTGAAGGAACTTCATATGATCCAGACTTCAATAACTTGACCATTATTATAATTACTAATATTATTGTAGTTGTGAAGATTATTCTCAAGATATTATCGTTCAACACTGACTGAGATCTTCCAGTGTTATAGTATTTCCTTACCAGTTTGTTGACATTATTTGTTGATATTATTTTGTAGGTGACTTGCACATGAAAATTAAGAATGAAATGTAATCAAAAATCAGTTTGATATGACTTGGTAAATATACATATGATATCGCTAGATCATTTCAACTAAAGATTGAAGTTTATTCTGTTATAAACTATATGGTTTATGATATCTTTTATTGAAGACACGGTTGATCGTCAATTTACGCACTTCACAATATGTATTAATGTTAGAATAGAATTAATGATATCAACATCATAGTCTTGAATTAGCGAGAACGTCTGAAATGTTAATATTTATTTGGAAGTATTCAGAAACAAAAATACGGAAATGTTTTTTCCTTCTATCCGCGACCAGCCAGTTGTACATCTTTCGATTTGTGGTCCGACTTAATCGTCTAAAATAAATCATAATCACATGCACACTATATGAAAAGTGTCTGCGAAGAATTCAATTGAAGTACCAAAAGATTTAAAACAATTTGTACCTACTGCAATTACTGTTACACGACATTTGACAAACAAGTTTATGGTAATTCGAAAATATAAACAATTTATCAACCACTGAATCATATCCTTCTCCGCTTATCAGTTTACACATGCGTTCCTTTAAACTTCTTAGGAAAATTTCTTTCCTAAGTAATTAGATTTGTACTGTAGAATGCAATGTAAAAAAGGAATTTTACAACTACTGCTATTTACCGCACATTCTCCACTATATAGGAAAAAATATATCATGTTTTGTCAGTGCTCACAGTTACAAAAATAGTAAGAAATTCAGTAAGTATTACGATATCTAAATTCAGACACAGAGTCATGTTCACATAGGTAAAGTATTCATAAAAATTATAGGTGGAAGACGTCGATTTTTCACTGAAGAGACAGGTATAATTCAGGATAATAATAATGACTATACCTGGTTTATGTTAGAAATTACAAGGTTTTTCGAAATAATGTTTATCAGTAACAAGTAATTCACAAAGTACAGGTTTCTCTTGAATGCTACTTTTTTTTATCTACTTGATATGTTAACTTATTGCTAGATCTTTTGAAGCATACACGTATTCAATTATTTTATTATCTAACTATATCTACACGATATATTGTGGTATGTTAAAGGGTGTTTTCAGTCAATTTGTAGGTTGTGTTACTACTATATTTTCATCAACCATTGGTGTGATGCGGTGTTAGTATTTAGAAACGTATGATGATTTATTCGAGTGAAAAATTTATATTAATTATACTCTATGTCATTTACTCGTGATTTCCTTGTTAAAATCAGTTTAGAATATCTCTTATTTACATGTCAAATTAGTTACGGTAACTTAATTAAATTTGAGTGTTAGTTAGTTTGACTTTCAGTCGACGAAAATGCTTTCCCACTAGTATGTTACTTATTATACTAAAGTTTGTAAGCGACCTCTACTGATTAATTACTACTTAGTTTAGGGAGTCGATAAAACTAGTCAACCTATTTACACGCTTCAAGAAAAAACATGCTAATCTATAAAATAAATCCTGTGATTCTTGTACTATATGATGTGTACATGCTTGTACACTCAGCTGAGTCCCAAATAGGAGGAAATGCGTGTCCTGAATTAAACTGCTTTCCACGATCTGACTTTGCTTGTATTATGTCCTAATATCAGTTCTTTGTTTTAGATATCATTCTGTGGTCTATTTCAATTAGTTTAATATTCCCCCAAATAATATCCACTGTTTTCGTACCGACTTATGGAATCGACCTTGTTGTCAAACTTGATATTATAGGTAACCAAATGTCTACAGTAATTGGGAGAAGACAGGGCGGAGTGGTAAATCTAACGAACTTCGTACCAGTAAAATCTTTTCCTCGTAGGCTGCGTGATACTCTTCAGAAGCAAGATGTTATCTCATCCACATATATGTCACTTCAAAATGAACTAATTCAAAGATTATTAAGCATCCTACGAAAATGACATTTCAAGGGTGTTTTTGAAATAATCTTTCAGTTTAATGGAAGCAATTGGTGTAATGAATAAATCATTCAAGTGATAAATGAATAAGCATATTAACTAAATATCACTATATAAACTAATTTCTTACGACTATATTTTCTAGATGGACATCATTATTACTTGAAATTAACACGTATTTTAAAAGCTTGTGGAGATTGTTGACTGTTATTGAAATCGTGAATCGATCAGTGTTAGACTATCATTGAAAACCTGGAAACACTAAACGGCTGTTTCTTCTTAACATGGGAATCAGCAGTGAGCATCCACGACCCCGCAAGCAGGAATCGAACCCAAGATCTTCAGTTTCGCGTGCAAATGATTAACCTCTAGATCGCTAAGCATGCATTCAGTGGTGTTCACGTCTAACTTGAATCAATCTACGATGTCGTACAACCGTGTTTCATTGTCTTCGGTAGGTAACTGCCTCACACTCGACACGGTTGAACTCCACTAATCGCGGTTTCGAAATAGAAATCCAAGAATTCCCTCTAAAAGCCTATTCAATAATGAGTACATGATAATTATCAATATAGAACCGTGAAGATTGTTGATTTTCAATGGTTGTCCAACGTTGATCGGTTCATAATTTCAACGAAATGCATCTTACATAGATCAATTAACCAGATTAATTTAACATATTGTGAAAACATAGTGTACAGGTAAATGTCATAGTGAACATAAGGTACTAATTTGAAAATTGAAGGATTTTGTTTGGAGCTATGGGTACATAGTTTGGAGAAAGTATGTTTTATTCTATGATGGTGATAAAAACATTGATGCTGTAAATTGTGAATAGTATTCCAATTAATCACGAATCTAATGAAATGAACTAAAACATTAAATACTAAAACATATCAATATGGGTGAAAGTTAAAATCTAATGCTTATCTGAGTCAATATTACCGTCCAATGTTTAAATCTAAGCGTCTGATTAGTATGAGAGAAATACAGAGATAAAACAAGGTGTTAATGGTTATGCAGATGGGTTTCGAACTTTAAGAAGAACTACTCTAGTAAGTAGAATATTTCTGTTTAGTTATCGGGTAGGCATGGTTTGAAAATCATGTAACTAGGTTACGCTTTTGTCAAATAAGTAAATAAGTTCACTTGTTTGAAAATTATGTCAAATAAAAAAGTAGTCGTAATTCAAAGATCATTTAGCCTTAATTAGTTTTCGTAAAACATACAAAGAAACCTGAACTATATTGGCGGTATAGAAAACAAACATGTAGACAAGATTTTGAAATCCATAACTTCATATATTTTTCATTAAATGTGTAAACAAGTTAATCCAATTAAAATTTCTGTCAAGTGGGCAAGTAAGCAGACATTTTTAAAAATCTAGTTTCATATACTTGTAATATGAACCTGTTTGAGATTGTTGGTAATTCGTTAGACCATTTCGAATCCACAGACAATCATGTTGGTAATAAAAGTGCATGAAAGCGAAATATTTATTGAATTCCAGTCGAAATAACTAAAGTTTGATGAATATTTATCCGTGTCACGTTCGAATTTGTTGGTTTAGCAGAGGGCATGAATTAATTTTTATGTGGATGTGGGATTTCACCTGTTCTTACTTGACTAATTGACATCCAGTGTCGGATACTGGATCGACTGAGTACGCTAACCCCTACGTCTTTAAATAATCAAAGCTGAGACAAAGCTAAACTGTTGGATATAGCTCACCAATTCCTTAACCGTGGACCAAAGCAGAGAAGCATATTAACTATTCAGTATTTTAAATCACTAAAATAAGTACGACACAAACCCTGATATTGTCTTGTTAAAGCCTGATAAAAGATCCGGTGTGATTGTCAAGAACAAATGTGGATGTAAAAGTAAGACATTATCCATTCTCAATGATGAAAGTAAATTTATGCATGATGGTGAATGCACACTGCTGAGGAGTCCCATACTAGGCCGAAACGGCCGTCCACTGCTTTCAGGTTTTCCATGATTGTCTAGCTTTAATTGACTTAGTATTTCAACCTGTAAAATTTCTAAAAATCTTCACAAAACCACTTCTGATAATAATCATCTGCTCACTAGTGACTGACTTCAAGAGATACTTCTGGAGTTCTAGTGAGAAGCCGTTGCCAGTGGAGTTCAGCCAGGTGTGTTTCGAGATATCGGCTCACTGAAGACAATGGTGTACATTGGCGCAACTTCGTGGGTTGGTTGAAGTTAAATATTAACACCGTTGAATTCCGGCTCAGTGGTCTGATGGTTAAGTGCTCGCGCGCGAAACCAGTAGGTCCTAGGGTCAAATCCCGCGAGGTGCGGGATCGTGGATGCTCACTTCTGAGGAGTCCCATACTAGGACGAAACGACCGTCCAGTGCTTCCAGATTTTCCATAGTGGTCTAGCTTCAATTAACTCATGATTCCAACTTATATAATTCACAGTTAAATTAATCATTTATAAAACTTATTTTACAAATTACACACTAACAAAACATCAAAAATTAACCAATGAGAAACTTGGAAATATGTAGTTTTTATAATTATTAACTTATAATTAATAGACTCATCGAATGATTGCCTTCTATAGTGAGTGTATTGAGATACTTTATATTCTATTTATATTCTAATGTGAATTGTATTATAAAATAGATTGTCTCAATAGCCAATATTTAATCACAAAATACAATGAAGATGTAAAAACATAATTTATTCTATTTCTATTTAATAATTCATTACAAGATACATATGTGATATCAATGAATCCATTGAATACAATTTATCGTAGATTATTTATCAAAAAATTATATTATATTTGTTTATTTATTTTATTTATAATTATCCTATTCAATAAAACAATTAATAATAAAATAAATGAATTATCAATATTATATAATCATTCATTAACTTATCAAAATTTAGATATGAATTTGACAAATATTTGTGAATCATTTTTAAATATAGAACCAAATCAATTAGTTGCTAGGCAATATGAAAATTATTCAACAAAACAACATTTATTATATTCATGGAAATCAATGAATGATTGTAAATTATTTCGAAAATCATTTCAATATTTATTATGGATAAATAAAGAAGAATTAAATTATCCAATTGCATTTGCATTTACAGTTTATGAAAATATTGATCGTATAGCACGTTTATTACGTTTATTATATAGACCATATAATTTATATTGTATACATGTAGATCGTAATACATCAAATGAATTTTATCAATCTATAATTGATTTAGCTAAATGTTTTGGTAATAATATTGAAATAATTAAACGTTCACAAAGTGTTTCAGTAAAATGGGGTTATTTCTCTGTATTAGATTCATTTCTTAAATGTACTCAAATTATGTTAAATAATACAAAAATTCAATGGAAATATGTTATGAATATTAATGGAAAAGAATTACCATTACGTACTAATTGGGAATTAATTAAAGCATTGAAAGCTTTGAATGGAGCTAATATCATTGGATGTACAATAAAAAATGGACCAAAGAAAAGAATTCCACGTAGAAAACCATCATTCAATGTGAGTTATTTTTAAGTTTAAAACAATCTAATAAAATTCTAACATTACTTGACCGATAGTTTATACCAGTAAAAGCTAGTGATTACACAAAGTTTTAAAAATTAAAAAAAAAAACTTTAAACATTAAATGTTAACGAACAATCAAAGAAATCAATAGATTTCTCAGTACCTATAACAAACAAATGACATCGTCCCATAAACTTAGTAGATTTACTTTTTACGGAAGTGGTATATGCTTGAATCAAATAACTTTAATGACAGATTAAGTTGTAACTTGGTTATTGAAATTAATACTGGTCGAAATTGATGATTAGTAGTTTCATATGTCTTTTATTTAGTATTTTCTATCAGTTTACTTCAGTCAACTCATGAAAAGTGATACCTTTACAAGAGACCTATGGTAACACATCCCAGAACCTACTAGACACTCAAGAGTTGATACTTTGTAATTATTTAGTTTCCATTATTGCTGTATGAAAGCCGTACCACTAACTTGTACAAACTCTTCTCAGTATAGTAATATCAATGAAAATGAGTTATAGTTAAGATTTAAAACCTAAAGTAACAGTGTATAAGTGTACTTTTATTCATTAAGATATTCTTTCAGACAAACTAATCAGGTGGAATATTTACCCAAGTAGTCGAACTAAAAACGATTCCATTCTTTAAATATGTTAAATAATTACTGTACGTATACATACATACGTTTTAAGAAACATAATTGTTATCAGTTGAATTGTTCGAGGCAGTGTAATATGAATTTTGTGGCTGAAGATTTTTAATTTGTCCTGATGGTGAAATAAATTATTTCGGGAACACTTATATTTAACAACTTTTTCCTGACTATTTATCTCCTGGTTTCTGTTACATAAGAATTTTATTTAACTTGTAAATTTCTCAAGAATTTCTATGGAAAAGATTGATTTCCCCAAATAACTCTTGTAACAACTTTGATTCAAGAATATCAGTTGACTTTTCTGAAGATTATCAAATATCAAAGTAAACAAAGAATCAAGATGTTATTGTTTTTAATGAATTACGTTCGTGGGAAAAAAAATAGAACAAACGATCTAAACTGACTATCTCATTGATCTCACCGATCCTCAAGTAGCTATAACTGATAACCAATAAATTTAGTTTATCTTCTTAACTGTACATGTAAGTTCAAACCTAAAACTTACATTTTTATCCTTATCATGATTCATTCACCATAGCGCGCCCGAATCAACCGTGTAGGCATTTTAAGAAATAAATGACAGTTTAATATCTTTCACTAAATCTATTGAGATGGTGGAGAAAAGTTTAGCTCAAGTGGATGATTTTGATGGAGTTGGGTTCTCAGAGCTGGATGTTTCGGCCGTGGAGCTTTCATCGTTTTTCCGAACGACATTAACAGCACAAACTCCAGGTAGAAGTCTTCCACCTCTCCACGACTAAACCATCCAGCTCAGAGAACAAAACTCCATCAAAAAAATAAATCTATTAGTTGTTAAACAGTCATTCGATTTGAAGCGTATATATATGATGTTATTAATACCACGGTTAACAAAGCTATTCAGGGTAAGTATTTTGCGACGCAGATCTTTCCTCTATAATCACAAAGTAGACAATCCTGTTTCCTTTGACCACTTTTATCCCATTCAATTTACAGTTCATCTGTACCTTTTGTCATAACTGATTTAATTTAAATTCATCTTTTGTTACTTAACAAGGTTACATGGATAAAAGGAAGCTTTTTAGTTGCATTACGTAAAGAATTTGTCAGGTATGTACATACGAATCCCAATTCTATTGAATTATTAAATATTCTCAGAGAAGAACAACATTTAATGAAAATACCAGATGAAATGTTTTTCAGTACATTAGCTTATAATCCACAACTATTTGCCCCTGGTGCTTGTAGAGAATTTTATCCACCCAATGAAAATGATAATCAATCAACTTTCGTATCACGCTTCGTTATTTGGAAACCCAAAAGATGTGCTACAGGGAAAAGATATCATACAATATGTATGTTAGGTGTACAACATTTATACAATTTAACAAAACGTCAAGAGTTTTTTGCCAATAAATTTCATAATGGTTTTTATGATGCAGCTTATGATTGTCTTGAATATTGGATATTGAAGAAAATGAAGAACGAACGTTTGACGGGTAGATTAGATCCAACATTTAATCCTCAATTCTACGCTAATCTACATTGTTCAAAAAACCATGTATAATACCTTCGAGCTATGTTACGATGTTATATTATTTGTGTATTTGTTTGAAAAGTTTGTGAACTTTCAGTTTTTTATTGCACCATTCATTGTTTAAAATATCACTTGCGATTTGAAATACAGAAATGACAATATAATCCACACCAAGTATCATTTAGCACCCTTAATTGGACATATCTGCTAATTATTTGAAATTTCTGTCCTCTGTATGTTGAAAATTCACCCATTTGAACAGTATATTATTCTTGAATGTAATCTATTCAATTCTAGTTTTGAAAGTGATTTTATCACAATTTGATGGTAAAAGTAAATGCTCTAAACTGCATTCAGAAACAATAGATTTTATTATTTTCGTAAATTTGAAATAACTACATAATTGAAAACCACTTATGATGACAATCTGTGTGTAAATGGTCGCAGGAAATATGTACTTACTGTATGATAAATTTACAGGCATATATTACAGTGACTAATGTTATGACAGTAAAAGAGAACATGCCTTACATTCAAACTGTGTCTTCATAAAACGCTGATAGAATACGACTTTAAAAAAACCCAGAAAAAACAAGAGGTAATTACTTTTGGCGACATGTTGCTTTCTCTTTGTACTACCTAGTTTATTGACTAAATTTTAATTATTGTTTTGTAAAACATCATTGAAATAAAATTCAAAAAGGCTGGCTTCATATATTTTAGAATAGTTGACATCACATCTGTCGAGGTTGAAAATTATTGTCCTAATCGGAAATATATTATTCTCTTTTTTCAAACTTCAATGTCGTTTGATTGATCACTGATTCTGTTCTACTTTACGTTTATCAAAACAATAAATGTTAAAATATATTTATCAATCTAGACAAGTACAGTGGTCACTTTGTAGTTTGTAGCGCTGATCATTGACTGGAGTGCATAAAATCATCAGTGGTAATAATTAACAACAGATTAGTGAAACGAATAGCTAATTCAGTTAAAGCAATTTATCTAGACTTATCTTGATAAATCAGTATACACGACTCGAATTCGTTAAGTGGGAATATTGGTTATACTTTCAAAAAGAAGAGATAGAGGTAGAGTATAATACTCTCGATGTGAGATAGAGATCATCGGCCGAAAACATGTAAATAGTGCGACTCACTTCTATTATCTGAGGACGTTAATTATTTACAAGTTTTACCTAATTGATAATAAATATAAACACTGAAGTGAATGGACTTAATCTATTCAGATGTTTTCCTTGTTAATACAACACTGTTTTGTGTTAGTTGAATTTAAAATAAGATTAACTCATCGAAGATTACACTTCATTTCAATTTCAAGATTTTATCTTATCATGCCGAGCCATCTTTACCCAATGATAATTTCCTTATCCATCTTTATGATGAATATTTAAGCCCTTAACAATCAAACGACTATTAGTTCCCCTGTTTAAAAAAAAACTTTAGTACCTTTATTTTTGCGATGGTGGAGGAAATTTGTAGCTCAGGCGGATGATTTGGATAGAGTCGGGTTATCATAGTTGGATGGTTTGATCGTGGAGCTTTCATTGTTCTTCCGAACAACATCATCAGTACAAACTCCAGGTAGAAGTAAAGTGTTCAAGTTTCTCCATATGTCTCATAGCTTGTCCTGTAGACCTCGATATTGATTGGTTGTTGTTGACTTTAAATGTCATTGTTTACTTCTTTATTTTGGTTGTATCTCCCATTAATTTGATTTTTGGTCCTATGTTTGTTCATAATTTTTCTAATTAGTTGATAAATTGAATCGATTTCAATGTGCTTATTGATTGCTGATTGACCTGAGTGCCAAGCTCCTAAAAATTCTCTCGTGTTTTTAAAACTGCCTCTGTCCAAGATTTCCACAATTTTCCAGTCCAATGTGTGTCCGCGATTGTTCACGTGCATTGATATAAGTGAGGTTATGTCATGGTGTTTTACCGCTAAATGATGTTCATGCAGATAGAGATGAAGAGGGCAGCCACTTTGTCCGATGTAGTATTTTCGCAGTTGGCACAATTTATTTTGTAGATGATGTTCGGTTTTTCTACTTTTATCATTTCATCCTTTGGTTTGCATAGGATCGATTGTAGTGATTTTGTTGCTTTATGTGTAACACCTAATCCGAAAAGTTTATACAATCTCGTTGCAGTTTCTGATATGCCTTTTATGTCAGACAGTCAGCTACAAAATAGGACCGGAAAATATATGCATCAGTTCAAGTTGCCATACCTCAATAGCACAACAAGATGAACACCAAATTCATAGAAGCAGTTACTTTAATGGTAGTAATATATAAAGGAAAGATTGTATATAAGGATATGATATACGGAGAAAGAATTAGTTCGTAGAAAGAAGGATATGGAGCGATTTTAATCTAGTAGTTTAAAGGAAGATTGATAGTGTATACACTGACGCCATTGTGATCGATTCTGAGCTACGTCATCCACAGTCTCCGACCATTGGGTACGATAGTCACACGGACCCCAACCAAGTAGTCTGTATCTACCAACATGGCTCAGATTAGAAGTTGGTGACTTCAACGACTGATATCACGTTATGGTTTGACCGCCCCATCACTAGTTAGTATTGCGCTTCATGGTAATCGGTGTTCAGGCATATGCAATACGTAACCCAACCATCTCAGTCAATGAAGATTCACAATCTTATCAACTGATTTACCATCATTCCCTAAAACCTCGAGTCCAACCTAACTATTACTTACCCAGTGATCCTAGCAAATGCGAGCAATATTTCTAAGGCATCTGTGGTCAAATACTAGTAGCTTACGAGTATCTTCTACCCTTAATAGCCACGCTTCGCAGTCGTAAATTAGAACAGGACGAACTGACGCTCAGTATACTCGTCCTTTAATTGCCTTTTATGTATGGTAGGGTGATCCATTTGTTGATTTCTGTACTTGACTTTGTTTCTGATGATGCATTCGGCTGGCATTTTTTGATGAAGTTGGTTGGGTATTTCTATTTATTTTTCCGCGCTGTATTGCAGTGTATCCTCGCCCTCTTGAACGAAGTTTGTACGCAGTCGAGGTCTACAGGATAAGTTAAGAGACATATGTGGAGAAATTTGAACACTTTACTTCTACCTGAAGTTTATGCTGATTATGTCGTTCAGAAGAACTATATAAGCTCCACGACCAAACTATCCAGCTCAAAGAACACAACCCCATCGAAATACCTTTGTTTATTCTTCCGCAAAGAGAACTCTTTGCTCAACCAATCTTTCTTCTTTTATGTTATAATGGTGTATTCCGTATACTAAAGTATTTAAAATAAGTGATTGTAGTTTAAATTCCCTTCACCTCTTTTCCATTTAACATTTAATCGATCTTATGATAAAAATAATGATTTGTCACACAATTTGCACCTTTTGTATACCATTAGTTAGTGTGCTAAACCGTTTACATCCTATCCCAGTTGATGTTTAGTCATTTGTTAATTTATTCACTATTTCTTACTATAAATCAATTGAATTTGAAATCTAAAATCAACATGATGAAAAATAATCTGTTTGAAAATTTTGAACTATGAAACTTAAATTATCACACAAAAGTACTTAAAATCTGTGTACCATTATCAGTCTAATCAACACTCCATTATAATCAAGTTATCATAACAGATATTACCATATTACAGTGGATCAAAGTTCTCAGTATATTTTCAAAATTAAGCATATCTTTAAATCACCTATAAGCAATTAATTTACAGTTATTTCTCATTAAATTAATTCATAGAAACCTAGCATCATTTTTTTCCATGAAAATGTCGATTAGTCAAGTCTAAAAGTTTCGAGTGACCTATAATTCAAGATGATAAGTGTCTGATAACGAGATTGTAATTCAGCATTCCTATTTTATCCGAGATGAGACTTTAATTGTATAATTACCTATAATATCCGTAACTGATTGATTATTAGAAGTGACTGATATAGTGACACCGTAAGTTTTTACGATTGATTTTAAGATTATATGTATTATGACTGCTTTGATTGATTGAGATCATGAACCGATGGATGTCAGGCCACCATGGAAAACCTGGAAGCAATGGACAGCCGTTCCGTCCTATTGTGGGACTCCTGTGCAGTGCGCATCTACGGTCTCTCTTGTGGGATTCGAACCCAGGGCCTTCAGTCTCGCGAGCGAACGTTTGACCTCTAATGGAAAGCCATGACCAGTGGAGCTAATCCGTGTCGGGTAGAGATAGGTATCTACCTCAGTACAACGGAAGATGGTCGCGCAATTTCGTGGATTTTTATGTTCGATTCCATAACTACAGTGAATTCATGTCCCGTTATCGAAGCGAAGAGAATGGATTACTTGTTTTCATACTTTATAAATGAATATTCAGCTTGCCTTACTGCGCCATTGTATGCTGCAGTCCCGACAGTAAACATTGGAAAGATTTTGTCTTGTTATGATCCACACTTATTGATACAGAATATAATCTCTTTGCTGGTTTCATGTTCGGTAGCAAATTGATTAAGCTTCTTTTGCCGAGTGTGTAGGCATTCGTTTTTCCAAAAGACAAACTTTAAGCCACTATTTCCCCATTTCTCTCTATGGTAGACATACTGATATTCATTAATTTAATTGAGTGTGATTTATAAATGATCAAAATCTTGAGATTTATATTTTCGCCATAGATTTAAACCTTCAAAAGTACCCGGAAGGTTAAATAGAAAGCGTCACCATAATGCCAGAGTAATTTATTTTAGAATACATCAAATTCATCACTGAATGTTCATATACACTGTGTAAAGTTCGAATACTTTTGTAAAACAAGGTGTATGTGACAAACCTGAGGACTTATCCTTATTTGTAAATGAAGAATATACTACTTGGATAAGTGAAGTAGTATGACGGAAGTAGTAAATCATTTGAAACGGTGACGGATGAGACCCTAAAATTATACTCAGTAAGCCAAGACAATACATACATTCGTGGTCTCATCATAAAGAGTGCATGTTACCTACACTACGTTTTCTATAGATCTTCCAACAAAAAACTAATAAACCCATGAATCACAGAGTACAAGAACCAAGAGTCACTTGAAGTTAGCAAGGACACATATTTCAAACCAATAGCGAGACCGAATAAAGTAATCAGACGATTCGAATATGCAAATCGTGGAGAATCATTGTTCAGGTGAATGATTTGGGTGGAATTTCGTCCTCTAAGCTGTATGGTTTGGTCATGGAGCTTTCATTGTTCTTATGAACATCATCAGCCTAAACTACAGGTAGAAGAGGTTGTTGTTGACTTTCAACATGTCATTGCCTAACTCGTCATTTTGATTGTCTTTCTTTGATATGATTCTCGATCCCATATTTGCCACATTCAGTCATTACTGATTGTTAAGTTAGCCAATGTAAACAGTTTTATCGTATTAACTTATTCATTAATTTCGAATTTCTAGTGAACACAACTGCTAAATCAGTCACGTAAGGCATAAGCTTCTACTCAAAAGTGACACTCATATTGGTGCAACAGAGATATAAGATAAATTTTATGAGACGGTTTATGATTTTACTGATGTCCGAAACTTGACAGATAAAGTAAAATACGAACTCACAAGGGAAACAATAACCACATCTACTTAATTCAGTAGTAAAACAGACTGAGAAAATAAAATCAGGAAACTACGAATATAATCCCAACAGAGTAGATTCTCGCCGGTGGTCAACGTCTTCAACATCAAATGTAAAGAAGAATTAAAAAATGAAATCTTATTCCTAGATATTTTAATCAGCAGAATAAACATAGGATCACTAGAAATGCAAGTATACAGGGACGCGTCACATAGACCAAATACTAAACTTCAGCAAACAACCAACGTATAAGCAGAATTGTGTACATTCGTATTAAAAATAAACAGAAAATTTCTATATCTCTCACTAGGCAAAAACGGAACCGATCGACCAATGAGAAACCAACCGCAGAAATCCGAGAACGGACACTTCTGCTATATGAAAAGCATCTCCGAAAACAGATATCTTGAAGCCCTAGGAATTCAATGTCACCAAACCGACGTAACCGTTTCAAACCGAAAGATAAGTTATTATTAGAGCAAGTTCAATATGATAGAACGCTTCACTCCTAATTGCTTACTATTATATACGTATACGCTGAGGTACTACCCGGGCGCCCACAACGAAAATGACCTGCTCAAGGATCGATTTCTGAGCCTTTGATATATATAGACCTAACGGACGAAACAATAAAACGATGTCAGATCCAGTTCCATGGCAGCAAGTGACTGAAATCCATACGCCTTCCGTTTCCTAGGGGTCTTAGAGCTCATGCATATCACAATTATGAAATAAGTCCTTTCGGGCTCTCGTGGATGGGCCAATTTAAGCACCGAACGTCAACTCTTCTTACTCTCACTTTCGTTAAAACATCCCCTAACATGTGACGGCAGTGAGTACTACTTTCCAGGAAGAGGTCATGAAAGCATGGAAGTATGGGATCATTTCAAAGAAAGTGAACACTCACTAACTTCGGAAACACCAGGTCGACAGTCAAATATACGGCAGCTAAAGCAAACAAATGCAACACCATTTACAAAGTAAATTGTACCAATCGAGAGAAAAATACTAGTTACTCATATGCGGACTAGGAGTGAAACATATGTAATCATATTAACGCACGTATACAATTATGAGCAACAATCCAAACGGAAAACACTGAAATCCAGGATCAATAAAATTTTAAGAATTTCTAGAACTATGGCATTCAAACTAACCGGTAGTCAAACATATCGACAAATATTCAGTCCGCTAAACCATACGAAAAAGGTTGGTCAACCAAATGATCAGAGACCAACCGAACAAGGCAGTCAATAATAATACAAAGATGAATGTAAACTTCTTCATCTTCTCGTTAAATCAATCCGAAAATGTCAGGAAAATAATCAAAACGAAACTGAATCAATCAGTGCATTGGCCGAAGATTGAAGTTATTTACTTATTATGCTTTGAAATACAATATAGTATGTCCACAGTATTACTAGCATACGCTTTTCTATTTATTTACCAAATACGTTTCATACTCTTTAAATACATAACATACATATAATGGATACAAAGAAACGAAATACAACGTAAGAAGAAATATACAAATGAAGAAGAGTACTGTAAAGAGCTAGTATTTTGATGCACTTGAGCGCCACAGCATATATGGTATCAGTAAGCACGGTGTAACAAACAAAGCGAAACCAATCCACTCAATCTGTTGAAAGAAGGAAAAGAAAAGCAACACAAATACTTCTGTATATTAATGAAACCACCTTTTCTAATAAATAATTTTAGAGAATTCCCGGTAAACGATGCAAAATTTTGAGACGAATAACTACTTGTGTAAAAGTGTTATCAGAAAGCGGAGCATTTCATTCTTACATATGATTACGAGTTCTCATACCGAGATAATCAGTCGATAAGCCAGTCATAAATAACGTAGGACGTGGTATGAATCTATTTCGATCCAAGCTGCCACATCTCATTAGCGCAGCAAGAGAGGAAATTGACAAGATTAGAAGTGAGAAAATAATATCAAATAAAGCAGAAAGTGAACTACAAGAAATATAATCCAGGTAGAACGAGTGGAATTGAAGAATGAATCCGTCTGGTCACATACGAACACACTTTTAATAAACTGTTTAGTTGAAATATGCAAATAAAATTGTGTTATTGGAACGCAGTGGATTTGTTCTATTAACGAATTAGAATGGCACATAGTGATAAAATGTTAGATTGAGAATAAACCTTAACTGATAAAATGAATTCATTTTATTCTGTGAACATCCTTCCAACTGTAATTCAAGTTTTTTAATGCAATAAAATGACGATAGAACCTTGAAATTACTTGCTTTCGAAACAAATGAATTCAGAATTAACTTTATGTTAAATAGAACGAGTACACTGAACGTTCTTAATTTCCACAACGAGACTATAATTAATGGACGAACCAGTCAGACATAAGATGACGAGTCTTGGATTTTGACGCGAAATTTATCTATACAATTGTCAAAATATCAATTTGGCATTATGGCTGATGTCCATTAGTGATGAAAACCATAAATCTAATTCCTAACACTAACCATCAACAGTAAATCTTAATTCTAGTTCCTCACCATAGTTTATAACACTCATTTGGTCCTAGCTAGCAGGTGGACATTCTCAAGGTCAGTTAACGTCACTCAAAGGTCGTACAGAAATTATAGTCTCACCATTTCTACACTTTTTTAGCACATTTATTCACTGCGTAATATATTGTAGATGTAATACGGTATGTTCATTGATGACTGTAATAATGTACTGTGGACATAAGTTTTACAGCTTTAAAAATGATAATATTTTATTGCGTTACCTACAGAATAATCTTAAACGAAATTGTTGGCGGAATATAGATTGGATTAAAGCACGTAACGTGCAGAATTATGTTGGGACACACTGATTGGCTGTTTCTTAACCAATCAGCGCTAGTAGATATTTGGAGAAGACTCTGGAGTCTTCTCTTGTAAAAACCATAAATATACTAATGTTTTTCTTATTGTGCTTCTTACTTCCATCTACCCTTGTTATTTGGAATATAGTTTCATTCCTGCTCAACCATCTTATGATTTGGGGATTTATAGAGTATCTAATATTACTAAACAATAGGAATAGCTGGGTCATAATAAGAGAAATTATAACAAATTAAATGAAGACAAAAAGACCATAACATATATTGTATAACAACCAGTGAAAATTTTACTAACTGTATGAGAAGTGAAACGCTTGTTATACTCCTTCAGTCTGTGAATTGTAAGTAGACCAGGTGCAGAAGAATACAAAAACTACAGGAAAAAAATAATAGCGTGTTTTTATTCAGCATGTATAAACATTATTTTACTTCATAAAAAAGGTTAACCAGTCACAAGAAAAATGTAACTATTAGAACAATTTCCCTCTACATTCGATGAAAACTTAAGAAATATGAAGGGTACGGGATCTGGTCCTGGTTATTAAAGTGCTCTCACATTACGTGCCTCAACACGCAAGCGCTAAACAGACTAGAGGTATGTTTGAGGTTGCTTTACTGTTAGCTAACTTTACGGCAGTATCTTGTGATCTGAGCGAGATGTTTACATGTAGTAGGGGATAAACTTAGTTACTCTGTTTTCTTCGGTAGATTGATATATTTCATGCTATACTTGTTGACCAAGCACAATAAGGCCTTTAATGGCATTTTGGAGTATACTGGTCCACACATTATTTATCCTAGCTTTCGGACAGTCTTTCATAACTCAGACACCATGTGACCATTTTATCACTTTTACCTATATAATAAATCTATTCTTTTCATAGGAAGAAGTTAAGACTATCAGCGCATACCTCTTACATTATTTTTTATTACTTAAACACATAAACATTGGTAAAAAGAGGCACCGAATAGATATGCGACAGATAAATCACTCGATTTGTGTGAGGGCTAGGATACGGCCCGGGTGCCCAAACCGAAGCAGGTGGTTTTCTTACGGGCCACATCTGGAGCCTTCGACTTAAAGGTTCAATCAACAAGGCAGTGAAGCAACGTAAGGTGATGCAGTCCCATGGTAGCCGGTGACCAATAATTGGTTTATACGCCATTTGTTCCCTCAGGATCTTGGAGCTCATGTGAACCACTGATTTGGGATCAGGGTCTTCCAACTCCCCTAGGTGGACTCTCCGTGTCCATCAACCCAGTTAAAGCGCCCGACATTCGCTTTTTGTCCTTTCACTTTCATAAACAACACCCTGCCGCAAGAAGGCAGTGAGTAGAAATTCCCTCATATATCTATGCCCTTGTAGTGCTACATTTCATGTGTACGTCAGTACGGTTACTATTTTATCCGGTTACTGGTTCTTTGTGACACTACATATTATCTATTTTCAATCATATTAACGCTTGTAATGAGCAAGATTCTGAGTTGGTACATTCTTCTCCGCTTCGCTTTTCATCTTTCTATCTGTCCGAGTAAACGTATGCCTGAAATAAATCCATCAGACTATATTTATTTATTTATAAAAAAATAAAATTTATTTATTTGAACACATAAATATTGGTACAAGAGGGCACCAAATATATATGCGCCACAAAAGGAATGAGGATTCGAAGAGAAAAAAAAGGAGGTAAGGAGCGTAAAAAAGAACAAAAACAGATTAGTGTATGGCAGTGCAATAATAATAAAATAATAATAATAGTAATAATGGGGAAACGGAAAGGTACAATCAGAAGAAATCTTTCAGTTAAGGAAGATATAACCATTTTTATGAAGTAAAGGGTTACAGCTGGATCGCCACTGGCTTCTATTCTGAGCCATTTTTGATAACGTCCCTAGCCACTGTGTTGCACCATCTCTAGGACCCCAGCCAGGGAGTCGTGAAAGGCCAACACAAGCCAGTCGTGAACAGCCTTTTTTCATACCACGACACCATGTCACGTACTGACCACCTCTCCGCTTTTTCCAACCAGTCCCAGAGTCGGCAAATAATACACGACGTGGAATTCTCTGGGACGACATTCGTAGAACATGTCCAAACCACTGAAGTCGGTGTTTCAAAATGGTGAGACCAATTGCATTATCGTCTCTGTGCCCGAACACACGATGCCGAACCTCTGTCTTACTAACATGGTGTTGCCACTGGATGTCAGCAATCCTTCGGAGACAGCGATGATCGAACACAAAGAGTCGTCTAACGTCCTCAACTCGGAGAGGCCAGGTTTCACAAGCATAGAGCAAAACTGCTCTCACCGACGCGTTGTAGATCCGACCTTTTACAGCCAGACTTGCATCACGAAGGCGCCAAAGATGGCCCAGATTGGGTCATCCGACTAAACTCGTGTCTACTTCTTTATTACTGCCGTCATCCAAATGGGGTTAGAATAGGTAAAACATACGAAATCAAATGAAGAATCTATGCTCGTGGTTCATTCATCGTTCGTTTGTTTGATCATTAACAGAGCTAGACAACCGGGCCTAAAACATCAACTGTGTTGCCACAATACTAAATTAGGTTTTAATAATACTAAACATTGGTCTGGGTGATTTGTGTTTGTAAATATTTATACTTCGTCAGTGTTTTCATGTAACCAGTAATACAACCGAACATTAAAGATGAGAATATTTGTTCTTAATGTACTCCCTACTTTTTGCTAGATTCTTTAGATTTGGTTTTACTGAAAACTTATGAACCAATATCGAGTAATTTCAAGGATGTTCGTCTGTTAAAAACTTTTATTAGATATTTCGACGAGAACGACATGAAACTACATGTAGTCCTGAGGAAAAAATCATTTTCAAAGAGCCAAAACTTTTCTAAATACCTTACATATACTACGAGATGATGACACATACTCTATGCATCAATCAGAAGCGTCAAACATCGAAACGAATGAAACAGTTAAACAGAGGATAATTATACAACAATGTTACGGAAGTTAGAAATATAATACGCAAACTAACAAAAGTTAAAGCTTACTGAACTTCTCTGCAAATCACCAGATTTGTAAGTAATTGTAGCACTAGAGAAATTATGGACGCCATTTATTTGAGGTTTGAGGATTAAGACATGAGTGACATTCGAGGAGGCAGGTATAACAGGCCACCGAGCAGAAGGGCTCCCATGGATCAGTGTAAATTCTGTTTCGGCAAAGACATCAAATAGCTCCACATCTTTGGCAGCGCGGCTGTGTGGAAGGACAACAGCATGTGTTTATGTATTAGGGGACGACTAGATATAATTATAATATTTAAAAAATTAGTCTGTCCAAATGCCAACATGGAAAGAAAACCAAATAAAAGCAACGTAGTTTCGACCTGAATTAGTCAGGAATGTGTCAAAGGCCAATATGAACAAAACAATCACTTAATACGGATGATACATAATTCCCGAAATAAGATAACTAAAGCTATGAAAACGCGAGAGGATAACGTAAATGAATGAATAGACTACTAAAAATGAACTGATTACATTTTTGTATTTCATACCAAAAACATAATCTCAAATCGATAGAACCATTGAACCACGACAAGCGAGGTGGCAGTTATAAAGCGTTTACTGCTATACGCAACACTCCAAATCTAATGTAGAATTCTCTCTTTTTTCCTCACGTTTAGTGTTTTATCAGTAAAGAAGCTACTTTACGGGTTGAATTCAGTCCATACCTAGTCACTCGTTTTCTCAACCCTTAGATTACATTTCTCTTACAGTTGTCTATTTCCTCAATTTGTCCTCATATATGAGGATACTATACTTACAAAAAGTAGTTTAACTTCCCTTCACAACTAAATCAATAACAAGAAAAATGCAAGAATTGAGATGGGTATTTCCCCTGTAGCAAGATGAACCGACTGATCCAATAATACAGTACCTCAAAGAGAACGCATGACCCAAAAGGTGGCCCAAAGTATCAACTAAATTACTTTCATATTCTAAATCGTACCTGTTTGCACACTATTTCAAAATTCTCAAAATAGCACAATAGGTGCAGCATAGAGAGTAAAATTTAAATGTGTAAAGTTACTTGAAAACAATGACTTGCGAGTATAAAGACATTAAAACTCACGATTCATGGAAATTATATATTGTATATAGAATAGTGATTTCTTTTTCTTGAAAGACAAACTCATTCAAGATCTCTTTGGAGACCGCCAGTCGGACATTGTCCACGGAATCTGAAGACACCAGGACAGTCAAATAAACAGTCAAAATGATAGCCAAACTAAGCCTCATCACGTTGAACAAGCTTCAAAACACCCCCAAGCCAGGTGCACTACGTGGCAAGGTCACTCATGTGTAATACGATAATACTTTTAATGTATAGAAAATTGCAATAAAATAAATATGCTCCTAATCAGCCTCTCTGTCAAAAAGGGGTAAATTGACAACATTTTGTGTTGAAATCTTGTAGCTTCTAAGAAGATTGATTTGGAGGTGTGTTGTCATTGTGTTTATTAGATCCGAGTGAGAATGGTAAGAATAAGGATTGCGGGGACTAATCGAACGGCATCAGTGAACTCACAGGGCTTTAGCCCACAGAATGGGTGGGGCGTTGAGCCAAATGTGTGTGGACTCAGTGAGGTGTCACTGAGCCCTAACAAGATAATTCATCAGGCTGAACCATTTCTAAGTGAGGCGACATATCACTGAACATCGGACAGTCTGTCGAACCATTTCTAGGTCAAGGATGACGCAATGATTCGTTGATTGAATTCCATGGACAGTTTTCGGCAGTGGTTCCGACTTGTACGCTTGTAACATTTTAATAATAATGTATAATGTTTACTACTGAGATTACTTATGCTAGCCAGTCATTAAGAAAGTCTATTAGCCTGGTTACACAATATCCTTCAACTAGCCGCGCTGCCAAAGATGTGGAGCTATTTGATGTCTTTGCCGAAACAGAATTTACACTGATCCATGGGAGCCCTTCTGCTCGGTGGCCTGTTATACCTGCCTCCTCGAATGTCACTCATGTCTTAATCCTCAAACCTCAAATAAATGGCGTCCATAATTTCTCTAGTGCTACAATTACTTACAAATCTGGTGATTTGCAGAGAAGTTCAGTAAGCTTTAACTTTTGTTAGTTTGCGTATTATATTTCTAACTTCCGTAACATTGTTGTATAATTATTCTCTGTTTGATTATCCCATTCGTTGTTTTTCCTCAAAACTAGTAGACTAAGTACATTGCGACTGACTCATCATAATGTGACTACCTGGTCTACATGTTTGCACATCGGGGTCATATCACCCTCAAACCTATCTCACTCTATCTGTGAAGTCAGAAGTACTCTTTTGCAAGAACCTCCAGTAGTAAGTACAATCTAAGAAGCGGAAAAGCATACTTTGCACAAAGCCAAACAAACTAAGTTCCGTGTGACCACTTCTGCATGGCTAAACCGTGTAATCTTGATGTTCCCACACTGACTGTAGTGAACTCTTACTATTCTTCGACGGGTATTCGTAGTCCAGTGTCTTTTCATCGAACACAGTAGTGGTCCAGTTTTCTCGTTTATTTATGGCGATGGTTCAGTGTTAGTTGATTGTCACTACAATCGCCAATTTAATAAACGTTGAAAAACGTTCGGTCAACCCTAACCGCCGATCGATAAAAATACAGATAACATTCCATAGTCCAGCGATGAAAGCTCAAAAAGAGTACGTGCATGACATCTGATAAGATAAGAATAGCTTATAAATACATCCTCATCTAGTTTTTGATCTCTTCACACAAAAATGAATAGCACGCCGAAGTTCTGGTGTGGTCTATTCTCGATCGTAACTGACAACCCAGGTGACAGGGAAACCAAATTCCGTTTCAAGTACAAGAGGTTTACCGTGAATCACGAGTAATCAAACCAAATAAATTGTCTTAATAACAGTTATATCAATTCTCACAACGAACGTGTAAATTTAAGGTTTCCGAAGCAGAAGCTAATTATGGTCTAGTTTGGTATTATTACCTTTGTCCTCGTTACAATAATAATAAACTTAATCCCAAAATTGTAGATTTGTCATGATGTAACTATTTAATCTACAAGTTCTTACGTGAAAGTCACACTGTGGTGCGTGCTACTTATAATGATATAAGTAGTATATGACATGAGTCAAGAATGTAATGTCTGGTGGCAGAAGATGGGGAAGACCAAGAAAGGAAGGACGGGAATAGAAAGCAATTTGTATGGAAATGCAAGAACAGTGAAGTTCGAGACAATTATTGAACATTTTGCAAATTAAGTATTATAGTATACTTTTTCTATTTTACCAAGTAACTCTGTAATTTTGTGCTAAATATAATTCGGTTGTCCTCACCTGTGCTCTCCTTCACTACAGCAATACTATCTATCCTGACTAGTCGTATCGTGTCAATCAACAATACTATGTTTAGGACTTCTGGAGACCACATTTGGGCTGGTGATAGAATAATATATTTGTGGCCGGGGATAAATTACGTAGCATGATTATGCCTGCAAGGCTGAGCCGTTCGGTATCGACCTTTTCGTTTGCGCGTTCATCATTGTTGACCTTCCCCAAGTGTTTTATGTTGAATGTAAATCACACTTATTATATGTTCGGCTTCTGGAGTCGTGTAGTTAGGAACAAGTACCACCACAACTTCATCCCCGAATTGCAAAAAATAATGTTTTCGTATCGTTTTAGACACCATACAAGGACATTGCTACTGATCTTTCCATGCTTTACATTTACCATGAATGCTTTGTTTGTTACCATTGTACGCGATGTAACAATTTCAGTACGATTAGCTTATTTGTATAAACGATTTTACTTCTTATCTGAATTCCAGTCCATACTTGACGGTAAGAGTACGTTTGGAAAGTTTGGGGATTATATTTCATACATAACTAATACCGCAACTGTAGTTTAGATTTCCTTTCAACACACCAAGGTACGTTGGTGATACGTTATACCTTACAAGTAAAACAATATGCGGTCGTAGGATATTTTTTTGCACCATTTAGTATGGCGAAAAACTTAAATTGTATAAAATAGATTGATGGATGATAACGATAGTTTACACGGCAACTGAGTTGCACAGTCATATTTGTAGGATCAAATACAAAATACAAAAAGAAGATAAATTGCTAAAGAACACAACAAGATGATTCGTGAAAGAAAAAACATGTCTCTGACAATCAAATGACATAATGATCAAACAAGTTGACTGCTCAAATGAAGATGGGTAGAATCAGTCTGTTAAGTAGCATGTAATTAAACTTTTCATACACAAGCGCATGAATGGATAGCAAAAGACCCGATAACTGATGTTTAACCTACCCGTTCACTAGTTTGCAGTGAAACACCAGAATAGCTCGAGACAGTTATCTTCGAAATGTTGTCATTCCTGCAATAACTTCATCTATTAAGGTACTATCTCAATAATTTGGCTTTCATCACGTACGACAAGTCCATATTAGTCGACATAATGACACAGTATGGAAGGATGAAGTGCAAACAATGTGATAAGGACTTCATATTACATCCTGACGAACTGCCACAGTATAGACTAGACTTCCCTTAAATTATGTGTTTGTTGTAACTTGATTTGATCAAGATTAGAGGACATCACATCGCTTCGATTTTTGACTTTGTCGAGCACAAACAGCCAATATATTTTTCCCTAGGATATGTATATTGATGGAAGCATAATGTTATACGTTAGGGATCACTTTCGTATACAATCAATCATATCGGAGGCTCATGTTAGTGATACTTGTGGGGTAGCATGTTGTAAGATTAAGTCTAGAAATGGGTTAGTGACTATAGGAGGAATATACCGTAGTCCGTGTTGTCTTGCTGACGACTTTATCTTAAGACAAATCTGTTCTCGGAGTATGGCAGAATGTTGTCTCATCATTGGGGACTTCAACGCACCGCTTATCAACTGGATAGAGCCTACAGCTCCAGGTGCTGGTTTCGATAGTGACGCTTTATCTACCGTTATTCAGTGTGCACCTGTACAGTGTATCACAAAACCGACACATATCGATATCAACCATGATTAATGACTACTGGAATTCGCCTTCACCCACCACTGTGAGGATGTCTTTGATATTCAGCACCTTCCCCCACTAGTGAACTGTGATCACGTCGTAATTCACTTTAAGTTTAGGACACATGGTATACAATTCGTATCTGCCCCACCCCGTCCCATCATATGACTAGCCAATATTCCGGCAATCAGAAACTGTGCTATCTCGACCGATTGGTCGGTCGACGCGAATGGATCGATCGAAGACGAATAGAATAAGTTTAAGGTTATATTCCAGTCAGTAACGTCGCCCTTTATCCCATGGTCAGCACGTAAGCTATCACATTGCCCTCCATGGATTAATAAGGAAACCTGGAAACTGTTAATGCGTAGGAAACATTTCTAGGACTTATTCTTGTTGACAGGTCATGAATAATCAATTCCGGAGTATTTGTAAGAAAACCATAGCTAACTCTCGTACTACTCACGAACGACAGTTTGTATATGATAGCCGTACTTGTCCGAAACTATCGTTTTCGTATGTTAAACGGCGAATGAAACGTAGTGATGGTATTCCCCCGTCACTGTTACACGAAAATTCAGATCTACTAGCTGAATCAGATCGGTCAAAAGCTGAGATTTTTTCAAATTATTTTAGCGAAGTCTACTCTGCGCTTATTGTAACAAATACTTGTCCCACTCACACCGAGATACCAGCCAGTGAATCTGTACAGGTGACTGTGGAAACTGTCCTTCCGTTGATAACTAACCTCAAACCTTGTAAGATACCGGGCCCTGATGGGTTACATCCACGGCTGTTGTCGTCTCTTGGGGGCAGTATTTCAAAAACGCTTGCGACGCTCTTCAACATGTCCCTCTCACTCGCTCAACTCCTTACAGATTGGAAAGACGCTATAACCAGTCCCATACTTAAGGATGGTCAGAGACAGGTCGTATCTAACTACCGGCCTGTCAGTCTAACTATTATTGTCGTTACGTTACTTGAAAAGACAATTCGGGTTAGGTTGCTAAGCCATATAGGATCACACAGTCTGTTAGCTCCTAAGCAGCATGGATTTCGTAAGAAGTGTTCGTGCTTGACAAACTTACTTATTGCGAGAGAGGATTGGACAGCAGCCTTAGATAAGGGCCTGTCTGTCGATATGATATTCATTGATGTTAGCAAGGCATTTGGCAAGGTTTCACACTTGAGTCTTATGCAGAAGATCACGAGCGTGTACAGCGTGTTTGAACGAAATTAGTGAAGGGTCTTTGTAA